GCGAATATGTGAAAGACTTTGCTAAGTACTATTCGATAATACTGTTTTTGAAGATTATTGTCCGCTGAAAAATAGGCTCAGACTTCTTTCCAAAGGAGATAGAAGCGTTGGTGAATTTTGGAAAAATCACGCGTTTTTAAATTCTACTCGCCATAACTTCCTTCGGAGTAAGTATATTTTGAATCCGAAAACAGCGCCTTGCTCATTTCATCAAGGCGAATCTTTTTATATACAGCATGTCCTTGATATTTCGATTTTAGTATTCTTGAATCTTTCTGAGAACGTCTTTTCGCGAAGGTGTAAAGCAGCGAGCATTGCCTCGAGTAAAATCCAGCAAGGACCTTTCGACAGTACTTTTCCTGTAGATTATGATGTGCTAAATAGTAGCCGCAGATTTCTTTTTAAAGGAAATAGAACGGGTAGTGAATTGTGGAAAAATCTTGTCGTCCCAAGTTCTACTCTCCATAGCCCTAGAATACGAAGCTATCTCGCTAAGCGGATGTGAGTTTCGAAATCAGCAGGTCGCATAACCTCTACGAGCAAGTTTTCCGATATGTTCGGGTTATTTCATTTTTTCTCGTTTTACGCTCCGGAAGCTTGCCGATGGATTTTGGTCAAAATGTTGATGCTCTTGAATTGTAAGGGAACTTCGCTTATAGAGGTTTTCGAACACGCTCTTTACGAAAATCGTGGTCTTTGAGGATTACAGGGTCTTTTTGCAGAGATACGGCGAGGTGACTGTAACTGCATCACGAAAGTGCGTAATTTTGGCCGCACTTCTCGCGTATCTCTCAGAAACCTTGCCTGCTTGCTTTTCTCAGTCAAAGTTACTAGGAATTGTGTTATCGAATGGTGCATTACTCAGGCTCCAGTCTGTGAAATGCGCCGAGTCACGAGCCTACGAAAACACGTTCTCATGCATTTTGCCCAAAATGTAAAGATCGCATATCTCGTCGAAATTCCTCCATGAGCGCTTGTACAACGCGCTGATCAAATCCTTTCACATTTTTATTTATTTATTCTATACGCTCTTGGTGTTCCATACAATAGAACAGAAAGCAGTCATTTATACTCTAACCGCAACGATAGTGCATCATTAGTTTAGGCCTAATCTTGATAAAATGTGATGAAAGCTTGTATTTGACTGCACTATGATTCTAATTATCGGAATTAAATGATGCGATTCATGGAGATGTACCCATGCCCCCTTTTGCCAGCAAAATATTAGGTTGGTGCAAAAGGAATGGCCGATTTTCCGAGCCTTTTTTCAGGGCAACTTCTCCCCATCAGTTCTTCTTCTTTACAATAGAGGTAGTATACCATCGCGATGCTGTTTTCGTGCTCTATCTAACGGTGCTTGAAACGGGCTCTCATCATCATTTCTTGTAAAGTTACTGAGCTTTAAATAACCGCATCCAAATTCAGAATTTCATTGCATTCACTTTTCCGGCCAGAATTTAAGCGCGTATCAATGGGATTTCTTCGAAAATTCAGTCATTGTATGTTATAGAAATTGTCTACATTATGCATACTTGACTGTGTTCTTTAAAGCTATCCAGACTGAGATGTCGGCGCCTAAACATGGGCAGCTGTTGCGGTCATTCTATGACCCATAATTTTCTTCTGAAGAAGTCAATCGCCGGAGCTTTGCTCAATTCTGTAATCGTAGGGCTAGGGCATCCTGTTAGCAGTTTTTGCAAAAACATCCAGCTGTTCAGTACCTAGAAAATCAAAAAATTCTATATTCAGGACTTTGAGGCACACTGAAAAAATGTTCAAAAAAGTGAGAAATTTCAGATTTCAATTTTTTTCTTTTTCGCAAACTTTTCTGTCCGAATTCTTTTTATTGCGTTTTGTACTACTGGCTTGCGGCTACAAGATAGGCTACTTAACATTTATACTAACAAACTTTGAAGGAAGATATGAATTGTCAAAGACAAGGTTCTAGCAGAAGAACCTTTTTTGTTTTTCAATCCATATTTTTCTGCCCGTTCGTGATATGAGCATAAATAAATGTGCGCTGCGTTGCAGAAGGTTTGCTGCTTCTGATAGTTCTTACCACATTCGGAAACGTGCATTCTTCCAAAAGTTATAGCACGTCAAATTGAGAATTAAATCGGCCATTCCTTTTGCACCAACCTAATATTTTGATTTTAACAAGCAAACAAGGTTTGATGGTGGGTATTTATCTGACCCCACCAAACCAGTAAACCAGTGTGAGCCAGTGACTCCAAGTGAATTTCAATAAGGGTTGTGATGATGGATAACTCATACGTGAGCGTGATCAAGTTAGGTTATTGTAATCTATGGAGATGGCAATCATGCCAACTCATTTGCCAGCAGAAGATGCTCTTGCAATAATGAAGCAAAGCGGGGCTCGGTTGGTGCAGTAATACCAATCAACCTTGCCCAAATGATTCCGGGGAGAGTCCAATGACTCCGAAAGAATATCAAATAGTTTCACTTTTTGTAATTCATTTAAGAGGAAGTCAACAAGCTGTAATGATTGGGAAGAGAAGTAAATTGATTAGACCTGAACTAACGTAATAGCAAGATATGGGTTAGTAAGACATTTGAAAAAAACAATATTCAAAAAAAAACACAAATTGATGGTTGTATTTGGTATGCATTTTGTGGTCGGATAAATTAATCGCACATGGCCAGCTATAGCAATACAGATGACGAATTGGTGCTATTCATTACTCATTCTCAGAATGCCTCAAACGTAAGAGATCAAGTGTGTTGATTCAGCGTTCAAAAACATTCGTGCTCTGAGATTGTAAAGTATCTGGAATCCTTTAATGAATCTTATTGTGTTAGATTTGGTGCTTTGAGCTCTAGTCACGAAATAGCTTTGATTCAATTGAGCAACTGAAGCAGACGCAAGCACCATATTCAGTACAGTGGGAGTCGTTCGACGAGGCGAACATAATATCTGCAACGAACGTCATACAAGCGCTCACGGAGGAATTTCGACGAGATATGCGATCTTTACATTTTGGGCAAAATTCATGAGAACGTGTTTTCGTAGGCTCGTAACTCGGCGCATTTCACAGACTGGAGCCTGAGTAATGCACCATTCGATAACACAATTCCTAGTAACTTTGACTGAGAAAAGCAAGCAGGCAAGGTTTCTGAGAGATACGCGAGAAGTGCGGCCAAAATTACGCACTTTCGTGATGCAGTTACAGTCACCTCGCCGTATCTCTGCAAAAAGACCCTGTAATCCTCAAAGACCACGATTTTCGTAAAGAGCGTGTTCGAAAACCTCTATAAGCGAAGTTCCCTTACAATTCAAGAGCATCAACATTTTGACCAAAATCCATCGGCAAGCTTCCGGAGCGTAAAACGAGAAAAAATGAAATAACCCGAACATATCGGAAAACTTGCTCGTAGAGGTTATGCGACCTGCTGATTTCGAAACTCACATCCGCTTAGCGAGATAGCTTCGTATTCTAGGGCTATGGAGAGTAGAACTTGGGACGACAAGATTTTTCCACAATTCACTACCCGTTCTATTTCCTTTAAAAAGAAATCTGCGGCTACTATTTAGCACATCATAATCTACAGGAAAAGTACTGTCGAAAGGTCCTTGCTGGATTTTACTCGAGGCAATGCTCGCTGCTTTACACCTTCGCGAAAAGACGTTCTCAGAAAGATTCAAGAATACTAAAATCGAAATATCAAGGACATGCTGTATATAAAAAGATTCGCCTTGATGAACTGAGCAAGGCGCTGTTTTCGGATTCAAAATATACTTACTCCGAAGGAAGTTATGGCGAGTAGAATTTAAAAACGCGTGATTTTTCCAAAATTCACCAACGCTTCTATCTCCTTTGGAAAGAAGTCTGAGCCTATTTTTCAGCGGACAATAATCTTTAAAAACAGTATTATCGAATAGTACTTAGCAAAGTCTTCTATGCTGGATAGCCGTTGCTTCACATATTCGCAAAATGACCTCCGCAGAACAATTTGAAAAAACTGGAAACGGAATATCGTAGACATCGTACCCCAACTCTCAATATATCACAAGATTCTCCGCGCCGAGCTGAATCGAATGGTGGTTTTGGATTCAGAATTCGTCCACTCTGAAGCAAGATATGGCCACGCGACGTTGATGTATGGACATGTCCATACATTCGCGTCTTTTTTTCAAAAAATGTGAGCGGTATTGTACCTCTGCACTGACAGACTAAAAAAAGAGGTTCATTCCATCACCCCCCCCCCCCAGCCCTTCGGAATGAGCTCGAGATCACAAATGTGATTTGGTAAGAGGAGTAAAATTCTGCAGGCGACGCATGATTTTACGAAAATTTGTGAAGGCTCGAATTAAGCTTGTAAAGAAATTTTCGGTAAATGAAAACATTGCAGCTATGCAAAAGTCACTTCCGAGCTTTTTTTTGGGAATTTTATCATCCAAAAAATGTCTGCCTGTTTGAATGCAATAGAAAGGTTCGGTCCGAAAAATGTGCTATAAAAATGCTTTTATGTCTCCTGTATCTGAAGTTGCCCCATTTTGGAGTAAAAAAGCGGTAATGTCAATTAATTGTTGATAATAAATTATTTCCAAAACTGACGTACTGAAAAAGGTGAAAGCCAGAAGCAGAACCCCAGGGAAATAACAGTATTCTTGAATTAAAATGATAAATGCCGCTTGCTACAGAAAAATAATCTAGCTTTCAAAATGATTCTTTTGCAGTTTCTGAAGTAGAATGCATCGGGTCATGGTCTTCTCTTGGTCAAATCTTCTTCGCTGCTCGAGTCGGAAATCGTCAAGGAGAAGTCTACAGATGTTTTGTGAGTTTCTTGTCCCTTTCAGAAAGAGCAATCTTTAAAGTCGTTTTTGGAAAAAAAAGCCTAATTTCTACTGTTCGCAGCAAACTCGATGATCAAAAATGCTTACGCCGTAACGTTTTTAATTACACTCTTAATATCCACAATGGTTCTAATAGGGGCTATGCGGTAGAAAGGGCTTTCAAAATAACTAGAAAAGCTTAAATATGGAAATCTCATTCCAGATCTTGGATCAAATGGGAACAACGGGCAGGATAGGCATATCAGCAGATGCAAGCTGCCAAGAACTGACCCACATAGGTGCCGCTACTACAACTCTACATTACAAACAGGGTAAGTAGGCTGAAATGGGAAAGCTACGAACTGGGAAGAGGAGGAAATAATGGAGTAGATTCGAAACCAGGTTTCAGTTCACTTTGTCCAGAAGAAACTTCTGGATTACAAAGAAATCTTCTTTTTGGAAACTTGCCAAACTTTATATACTCTTCCTCGTTCCAACAGTCAGAGTTACAGTATGTTCGTGAAATCAAAGGACCTTGGAAAAGTGGCAGTATCAAGTGCACGAAATATAAGAAGAAGTCCTACCATACTGATCTGCAATTGCCAGTACAATTCAAAAAGTAGTGCAAATGCACAAAGTGACCGGATGAAGAGTGTTGTATGCTAATTCGCAGTTTACAGGGAGAATCTAATTTTCACATTTCTATAGCTTACTGTAGAAATACTATTGCGCATTCTCCCTTTACTTATTCCTTGACAATCGTGGTAATGTCAAATTCGCATAGATTTCTATCATATGTTTCCCCAAGATGATCAAAGTCAAAAAATTGAAAAACGCAACCTTTCAAATGTTCATCTTGACTTTTTTTCAATATATTCAGAATTATCTAGTATCTGCCATTGCTTTTAGATCACAAAATACATCCACAATGTGACTTCCCTGATTATCTACATGCAAGAAAAGGACGCGTTCTGAAATCTTGGGAATCCATCGTGACTGGTCGACGAAATGTCATTCATGATGGTTTGTTTCATTTTCCTTTGTTTCTAGATGTAGACTTCTTCAGGGTACTCAGGAAATTAGAAATAGTTCGTTTAGGTTACTGGATAGCATCGTATAAGGCGAAGAACGACTCAGTATGGACGTGCTTGGAAAATCGACAATTTGAGAATTTCTTGATTGTTCGAGCTTATGTTCGCCGAGGATGTCAAACCGGTTATCAATGTATAAAGGTCGAATTCAGCAATTTTTTTCAGCAAAAAGTAAATTTTCTAGATGACTTTATTTCAGTTTCATCGTCGAGGACACCATCTGGTTCAGCTAGGATTTGGACAAATTAGCCAAAATGAATATGAAGACTGCACGGAAATGGACATAGAAACGCGTGATACATTGGTGCTCCATGGTGCACAGGTAACTGATCCCAACAGCAATTATTTTTTCATTTATTGACATGAAAATATAGGAGGAGTGTCTTCTACGAGGTCGATACTCAACGAGCACTTGTCCAGATCCGTTGCTGTACATAGGATGTAACAAACCTGATGAAGTCCAGATTTCCAAAGAATGCAAAGGAGCACGAAAAGGTAAAGTAATCCACATATTAGTCTTATAAGCTGTAAGAAATCCCTACTTTTCCCCATAAGGTAGCCGTGAACTGTTCAAAATAGGATAGTTACACCCCTAACGCGAAAAAAAAACAAAAATTCTATACTAAAGCTTTCTTGCTTTATTCACATAGCATGAGAATATTTCAGACTTCAGACAGTGAAAAGTGGAGCAAAGAATGAAAAATCAGCATTTTCTGCTACGATAACGCTTTTAAGTCGTGGAGGAAAAGTCAGTAACTCGGTGTTACTGGTGTTACTGCACACCACACACGGTATCTGACGAAATGAGCGTATGCGAGTTCCCAATAATAGATCTCTTCCTTTTTTTCTTTTTTTAGAAATACATGTAGCTAAAAACAGCTGTTATTTTTGAGAATCTTAGAGAACCATTTTTTTTTCAACTAGAGAGGTTACGTCGGATGGCATGTGTAATGTGCAAACTCACATTTTTTGTATGTTCCCCGAGAACGGGTCGCGAAATTTTTAAAAGTTACTTACATGGGCTATAAAATTGTGCAAATGACTTGTCTGCACTTGTAAATAATTAAAATAATTTTTAAAATTGTTTAAAAATTCATTTTAGTTTGATAAAAAATTTCGGGGGCGTGACTGACGCCACGCCCACTTTTTCTGAAATTTCGGGGTTCTGAACCCGCGAAAATTTTAGGGAGCATACCAAAAAAATTTTCGAAGTGCGTGGCTAACGCCACGCACCTTCATCAGACAAAAAATTTTTGTCACCCTCCCCCCCCCCCCCCCCCACCCCCGCCGAGCCGAAATTCTGGGTACGCCACTGCCATACAGGAAGAAATATCGACATTACTGTGAAAACAAATTTCATCAGAAACCAGCATGCAAATCTTGAAAATTGCTTACATGTTCATATGTTCGAAGTAATCAACTTTGAAAAAAAATAGCGGCTCATGTAATGGTTTTTCTTTTTTACTCTATGCATAAATTTCAGATATTGACAACTATTCTTGCGCTGCACACTTTGATGATGGAGATGACCATTACTTGATAGTTAGAGATGATCTCTCAAGTCAGCTCCAATGCTTGGTTGGTTGACTGATCCTTAAGATGGAGTTTTTTTATCATTCCAAAAGTTTTTAGAAAATACACACATCCAACAATGTTTCTGTAAAAATTTTCGATCACATCGCATGTGATCCGCACTCTACTAGAGCTTCACCTCCCTCTGTTGTGATGAATATGTCGAAAACAGGTTTGCTATTCAAAATTGAGCAATGCCCTATAAAAATTATTGACTTCATTTTCAGAAAGATGTGAGTCATCTCTCCTCGCTGGATTTTTGTACTACTCAAAAAATTCTGGAATAAATGATCTGCTACTTTCCCTTCAGTCGAGCTTACTCATCTTAGTCATGCTTTCATGACATATCGTATCCATGCAGAATTCATTGTACGAATTTTTATTGCACGCGAAAACGCTTAATCTCTCCTTTAGTCATGCTTACAGCATACCATTGTCTTCTTCTTTTTTTATCCAGAGATTTACCATCTTGAAAAACTAGGTCGAAGAAAAATATACGGGGATATCTCGTGCAGGCGGTGTAATCACACAAAGTCTGAATCTCTCTCTTGCATCCGGTATGATTCTCGCATGCGCTATACTGTAAAATAGAAATAATTTGGCGTCAAAAGCTGTGTGAATACATTTGTAGCAGAATGTGTACTGTAGGGGTACTGTAATTCTGCTATAGAATCTGAAGGTAGAGTAGAGCGCGTTGAGAGCTATTTTTCTTCTTTATTGTAGGTCATTAGTGTAGGTGACTGTGAAAAGGCAAAAACTTTTTGGAATCAAGTAATTTTTAAAGAAACAATATCTGCAATTTTTTTGCCTTGTTACCGAGCTTCTAGGGGGTAACTGACAATAGGTAAGACTACGTCCAGAGTCGCCCGTGTCAGCGCCGTACCAGCGCCGTGCTAGCGCTGTGCCGGAATGTCGATCAATCAATAGAGGCGTCCACGTGGGTTACGCGACGCGCTAGCACGGAGCTGGCACGGCCCAGGACAACTCTGGACGTTTGCCTAAGCGACAGCGGACTCCACTGTAAATTTGTATAATGCTACTTCTCTATCTTTCTAGAGTTTCTTTTGTACTCTGCTAATTGTCTAAAACCCTGAAAAAATTTAACGACACCGCCCACTCGTTGTTATCCCCTCGAACAACGATTTAAGAGTACTTTGCTAACAATAAGTCTTGTGATAATTGGTTGTATACTGAGGATCTCATAGGGCTTTGCCTGATATTTTGTGATAATTGCTGTGCAATGACTCATCACTCTAATGTTTTGCTTGTTTTTTTTCCGAAATTGTCATAAAGATTGATGCGTCAAAAATCATTCACTGCTCGTTCAACGCTTTCTAGATTGTTCGCTCTATTTCCTGTGCTTTTATACCATTCTTATGTTCTCGGTTGTGCAGACGACAATGACGGGATATGTTTTATTTTTCTTAGACTTCCTTTGCGGATTGTATGATGTTGAAATTCTAGTCGAGATTTCGGTGCCTGTGAATAAACGCTCAGCCTAGATACTGTTATGTTCATCAGATTCAAATAAATTAGTAGTGCAATATGATAAATCAGGAGTGCAAAGTTTGAGAGCCGGTCATGAACGAGTTTTTCTTTTTCTTCTAGTTGCCCTTTTATATCACTATCATATGCTACCGTACTCCCGCGCGGCATGAAACGCTAGGGTCGTCTGTCGAAATGCGGTGTGAATGCACTCAACGGTTCCCCGTACATATTTAGAGAGTCGTACCCTTTGGGGTTAAAAAGGTTACGGTAGCGTACGAGATGCAGCCTTTAACATTTTCAATAAAGCTTCCGAATCACTATAATTAGGTTCGGGCATGCGCATGACCTGAAAGCTCTATTCGAGCTTTTTTTGTCTAAACAAACGTTGATGAGTTCCACAAAACTAAGGACTTTCTCATTGAAGTGGCCCTTATATACCACTATCATATGCTACCGTAATCCTGCGTTTTAGACTGCAGCGCGCATGTTTGCCGTATATGTTATGGCATTATGTGATCAAATTCCTTCAGACGATGTTGTATGCAAAAAGTGGGAATAATTGAAAGTTGCGTAAGAATATGATATGCAAGTGCGTAAAAGCTTTTCGTTAGTATTTGAGTTGAAGATTAGAAATGTCCTAAGAACTTTACCTCAACCCCTTTTTATGCTTAAGTGAAGAGTATGCTGATGCGTTCCACAAAACTATGAAATTTCTTAGGACAGTGGCTTTTTTATAGCACTACCATATACTACCGTAGTCCCGCGCAGTCTTATAATGCGAAGCGTGCTTGTTGCGGTACGATATGACATGTGCAACGCTTATATGATAAAAATTTTCATAATGCAAAGTTTGTGTCGAGAAAGTCGGACGTTTAGTAGTTGCAGGGGTTACGGTAGCGCACAGGATATGCCAGTGCATAGAAGCCTAAACTCATTTACTAGAATATTCATCTGCTTTTATAACCTAAATTTAGGCTTGGAATCATCTGAAAGCTTTATTTGAGCGCCTTTTTCATTCAAGTGAAAATATATTATGCGTGTTACAAAACTACAAAAAAATTCTTTCATATCAATAAAATTTGGCAAGACACAAGCTGAATTTGCACTTTAATTTCATGGCGACAATCTGTCAACTTTTGGAAGGCACTGACCACATCACATCTGAGCAAAGAGTACAACAGTGAGTAATCGATATAAATGCATTATTACGGTAGATTACGGTGACTGGTAGATGGTCTCTATAGCAAAACAGCGAGTTTCTTCTCGGGTTCAGCTTCGGGTTGTTCACTTGTGCGAGTTTCGGTTGTTTGAGTTGGCGGTGCCGGTGCGGGTACGCCGCCTTCCTCGCCCGCTATGTTTGCCACTATGCGTGAGAGACGATCCAGTGAGGTCCGTTTCCGACCGTCTGCTGAAAATCTGAGAGTTTTGTGTGAAAATGCACGAAAAATAGCATATGCGGTTGTTTGAAGAGCAAGAAAACTCGCCATCAAAAAACTACCATTTTTTTCTTTTCTTCATCTTTTTCCCGTTCCTCTCACTACACGAGGCTGCGCGTAGAGTTGGTTCGTGCCAGCGCCGTGCCAGGGCCAATCCAACACCGTGCTAGTGCTGTGCCGCCTCCATTCCATCGCCGTGCTAGCGCCGCGCCGAACCTGCGCCGGTGAGCTTGATCGATCAATAAGTAGCATGCCTGCTGGTTCCCGTTACGCCGAAGACGCGGCACAGGCACGTTCCCGAAAGGAACGGCATTGACACGGCGCTGGAACTTCGCTGGCACCGCGCTGACACAGTACGCGGAAAAACGGATGCAAGTCAAGTAATTTGGAACTTAGAAGTTGATTATGAACATTACTATCAAAATATTAGATAGTAAGCAAGTTGCTGTACTAACTTGGCTTCCTCACCGGTAGGCTGTGGACTTTCAACATCATCCGAATCGGATACATCATCATCTTCAAAACCGTCAAATGATGCTGGAAACTGCGCGGAGGTGGATGGCTATAAAAGAACAAATAAAATAAAATTGAATTAAATTTGCGGGAGAGTGAAGGTTCCTACCAAATATTCTCCACCAGTGTGACCATGCATAGCTATTTGATTTTGTGCCATAATTTTGGTCATCTTTCCTTCAGCATGGAGCATTGTCTCAAGTTTTGTAATGTATTCGATAGCTGAGCGAAGTATTTCGACCTGAATGAGACAATCCTAGCTTTAGGTAGAAAAATGAATGCTGGAACAGTAGATCAGTTCAAAAGTTTCTTCGGACTCGAGTTCACAAATTAATTCAACCAGTGCAAAGTTTACGATTTGGAACAATATGATTGGATTTGCAGCATTGGCGCAGTTGCAGATTAGACAAACATGAAAGTACAGTCCTTGTCAACCTTGTGTTACCTTTTCCACCAGCCGCATCGCAACCCCAGAACCTCGCGTCGCGTTCGCGCGCGTATGGATGCGTATTCAAAACTCGCCTCATCGATCGGGGTCGCTAGGCCTTTGCGGTGCGAACGCGTAGCTGCCACGGAAAAGCGAGCACTTGGTTGACATCTACCAACAACCATATTTTAAAAAATAAAATATGGTTGTTATATAAAATATGGTCGTTGTTTTTGTGCTATATTTTATTTTAAAAATTACAAGTCACTTCGCATACAAGTCATTTTTTATTAAAGTTGAGAAGGCATGTTTACAGCCTGCGTAGCCTTGAACCTGGTTTCCTAAGAAAAGTTTTCCTGGAAGAGCTATTCAAAAACTTTCCAACCTTTGGTAGCCTCTGATTTGGATTCGGGCATGTTCTTTGCTTCACGATTTCGAAAGCTTCGTTCACTTTACGCAATCGTCGTCGTTCTCTCATCGTTGCAGCCTTTCGACGATCCACTGAAACCACTAATTCATAAAATCATTCTTAAAGGCAGGTCCAGGCAGATCTGGACCTATGGGGCTTTAACGTGGAACGTAATTTTGGGGCCCTAACTAAGGCATTGCCCAAGCGGCAGCTCAGGAAGTGCTGTAATGGCTGAGATATTCCCCTCGAAACTGGACCCCGCGACCGTGTTTCGCATGGATTCATGGCGCAAAGCGTGTGTCCCGGCGCGAAACTGCCATGAATCCATGCGAATACGTTCGCGGGGGCCAGTTTCGAGGGGGATATCTCAGCCATTAGAGCACTACCTGAACTGCCGCTTGGGCAGTGCCTTAGCTAGGGCCCCAAAAGTACTTTCCACGTAAAAGCCCCATAGGTCCAGATCTGCCTGGACGCTGCCTTTAAAGGGCTCGACGACCTTCTAGAATTTGTTTGAAGGATTTAATGCATATGTGGTGCCGTCATTAGGTGCTATAGACATTTATATTACTGCTTTGAGTTAACAAATATTATGCAAAGTTTCCGTCTCCTTTTGATAAAGTACAACAAACAATACTACGATATGATTGGTCTGACGTTAACTGATATAAATTAGGCGTAAGAAAAGCTTTCCTTTGGTGTTGATTTTTGGAAAATGTTATTGTTATGGAGGATGCAAAGACTGGATATACCAGGTTGATACAAAAGTCTTGCTTCAAAAAAAAATTCATTGTAAACTTATATGATGTACTTTAAAAAAAACAATAATTGTTGCATTCTATAGTGATCGAATTTTTTATGATAAAGTTTTGTTTTGATCAAAAAATCAGATGCTCCATTCCTCTTTGGTGTGAAGAGCATGTCAAAGAAATCAAAACCAAATCAAATATTCGTAATGTTCTAACAATTTCTAGGACCGGGATTCAGAAATCTTTTTTTTGAGTGATACCCTCAATCACTTTCATTGCGACATAAAAAAGAATTCTGGTTCAAGCACTAGTAGAAAGGGCAAGATTTTCTTTCTCACTATACTGCAGAGGAAACGATTTTGTCAAAGTGTGTCCATTGTCGAAAGTGTTATCGATTACGAAATTTCGAAAACTTCGCAAGAATTGAGTCAAACCAATATTTTCCACTTTTTAATGTTTAACTGCAGGGTGATGAATTCCCACTATCTGGTGTTCCAAAATTCTGAAAAAAAACCTACATTTGCTCCTTCTTGGAGGATTATTCGGATCGGTCGTCTCCATTGCGACATCATCTCCAGACAAGGTTGATGATGCATGGAGAAGTGTGTCCGCTATAGGAACGTTATTACCTACAATATATATTCTCCAGTTGTAATATTGGATAAATCTTGTTCCAAGCTCACCATCTTTTTCTATTTTTATCCCTGTCGTGGGATCCTTTTGATCAGAATTCGTTGCAAAATCTCCAGTGCGTGGCACTGAGAAGGTGGTCAGCTCTGGGTAGAATGTTGAGGAAGTGGTAGTTTGTCCAGTATATGGCGGATAGTAGGTGCTGTACCTGAATTTTCTTTGTTAGAAGGGTTCTTCAGGTGCAAAAAACCTTGACAAGTTGCTAAGCCCTTTCAAAAGTAGTGAGATTGTCGGGAAGCTACTCAAACCTTCATCGCTTACCGAGTTCTTCAGCTAGCAGCTGCTTCGGTCATAAGCAGTGACATCAATCAACACGTTAACGCATCATTACAGTAGGGCTCAATGACAGAAAACACCCACTTCTACTCAGAAAAACTTCGGGTATACTGCTGAAGCAGCGCGGCAAGCGTATAGCCGCTTTTCAGCAAAAATTTCGAATCAAAAAATTAAAATTGATCGTAGTTACTTGTAAATGGCATCACCAGAATCTTCAACTCAAGAATACCCCAGAAATGGCCCGCAAAAAGCCCTTCATGAGCGAGGAAATTTAAAATTGCTCTGATTCCTTATAATGGAAGTTCGCCTGGATTTTCAAAAAACTATCGCAGTTTACAGATTGCTAAAGTTTCAGTTTTCTCCAACATCAAAGCAAAAATGTGAAAAGTCAATAATTGTAATGATTTCACTCTAACTGGGTTTCGTAATCAGTGGTGAAGGCGTACATCGAAATTCGGAACATGCTAGTTGACTATGAAATCTCGTACGGTAGAAGATCTGATTGAGTTCAAAACATGATTTTAATGCAAATTTTCCTTCTCTTCCTGTTAGTTACTTTTCAATCTACAATCTTCTGAAAGCTTCTTGGCAACTACCAAAAATCTTCATTCGTCATTTCTATCTGCGCAAAGCTCGGCTAATCGTTCTAAAGGTTTAGAAAGAATGCGTGATAGTAGTAGAGCAGGTCTTCGACTACACGGATGTGTCTTTAGATATTTCTGGTCTGCTCATTGGTGATCTCGACTTGTGATAAATCAATGAAATACACAACTCCAGCAGAAACATGGAAGGTTTCGAAATTTCTGCGAAGTATAGGGCATTTGAAAAATCGTGACGATGGCGCGACCGCTCGCGACACGCACGCGACTGCAGGAAATCGCGTTTTCTTGGTTTTCATCTCTAGTCGAGTGGTTTTTTTGCTTACAAATGATATTGTTTAGACCTGGAAGTAACTGAGCTGGACATTGAGGTGCTGCCTTCCTGTATAAGCATTTTATGCTTCTGTGGGCGCAAAGTCCGCAGTAAAATCCGTCGTGACGATTTTATCAATGAACTATAGTTGCTTGTTACACTATTTCTGCAAACTATTCAAGTTTGATTTGTTTTAAAAAATCAGCTTTTGGAATTTTTGGTACTCTCATGCGCTGTACGAACTTCAAAAGCAAGAGTTTCTTTCTTTATACCATTTGCATTACATTGTAATTTACATTACTCACTTTAATTAGGGAAAATTACTCAAAAAACTATAGTGATAACATTGCAAAATATGCATAAATTGGAGAGAAAGTGAAGCTGTCAGAAAAAGGATAAAAACCTGAATCAAACGATATTTGAGCCGTTCGTCGATCAGGGTTCCAGGAATTTTGGCGACCGTTCAAACCGACAAAACATGCGGGACAATCTAATATCAAATTCATGTTCAGTATATATTATATTTTACTGCCCGAGTATTCCATTTTTCAGGTGAATATTTTATCTTTACAAAAATTCGTAAAAATCTCGTAAACTCGTGAGTTGAAAGGGACGCTATTTGTAAAACAGTAATTTTCCGAGGATGTAAATCTGTACGTTACCAGTTTTACCCATTGCATTTTTAAAAAAAAACCGATTATGTTTTGGCAGAAGTAAAATCGAAACGTTCTATTTTTCACGCAGAACCTTCAAAGAAGACTATTAAGGAAGAGTTCAAGTACATTTCAGCTATGTTTCTTTGCAATATGTAAGAGTGTAGGATTAGTAACTAAGTTCTCGAGGTTCCAAAATGTAATTTTCTTAGTATCTTGCTGAATATTTCGGCATTTCTTTTTTTAATGTCTCAAAAACAATGTTTTTGAACCAGACATAGTTTGTTTTCTCTGTTGAAGGCTTAAGATTAACTGTTGAGAAGAAAAGCAATAGATAGATTTTAAAATGGAGACTGGCCTACCGTACATAAGCGCGCTCTATTTCAAGAAGCCAGACCGCAATGCAGCAAAACGCTTGGCTGCCAGGCGTAATTTATTGAAAAAGCTTGCAAAATGTGGTTAAACTTTGGCTGGTCACTTGTCGCGACAGTCGCTTTATGTGTGGTTTCGGTTGCCGTTAGAAGTCAGCTGCGGTGGCACATGTAGCGCAACTGGTGCAGCAGCAGCGGAGCAGTTGAGAAGCGCCCCTTGGCGCTTCTCAGCTCGACCGACCCAATCAGGTGCTCACTTATTCCGAGCCTCTGTTCACTCGCATGTCGGTTGTGTCAACTTCATTTCTCCTAATTCTTGAGCTGAAGAATTCTCTATTCGTCTGGCGCCAGTGGGGCGCATTTTTTGATCACGCATGCGCAGCGCTAGTAACTCCAGCGCATCTTTCTGCCTAAGGGCATCTTGGCGTAAACAAATGCTTTTTTAGTGGTTTTTAAAATTCCTACTGTCCAAAAGAGGTAAAGGATTCTTCTTGCAGCTCGGGGTCTACTGAATTACAGTGTTTTTTTCACTTTTTCGACTTTTTTCTTTTTGATTGTATTTTCATTTACATTTATCTCTCTGCATTGGCCCAAGTAAAGCTGCATAATCCTTGGGGAACAATTTATTATTAGGAACAATTAATCGATTTTTGCTCTAAAGAATTTTGAGAAAACATTCCTGTTGAATTTCGAAAGAACATTATTTTTTGCGAAATAAATACTAATAATATTATTATTTTGATTTCTTTGTCTGTTCAAAGCGTTTATTCTGAAAAAAGGAGAATCTTCTCACTCCCCTTGAGCAATGCTTAGCGCTTGACTCTTTCCAAACGAACAAACTTCGCAGAAGTCAATAGTTCGTCTGGATTAGCATAAACAATCGGAATTCGCCCATGTACGGGCATTTCTAATTTCGAAAATGACAACTTCTTTGAGTCCATTGAAATTTTCGTGAATTTTTCTGGTGAACTTTTAGTAAAAACTTTCGATTTATTCGATTCGGCTGCTATTTTTTCTAATAATTTATAAAAGCTACCTGTACAGATCGTAGCCCACAGCATAGTCGGTCGAAGGTTGTGGAGCAGCAAATGGAGTCAAAGTTGTGATTTCCGTGGAACCCGTCGTGGATAAAACCCGTGTTCCTTGCGCAGCACTCGCATATCCTCCGTAGAGCTGATCGTACTGGCAGTTTTGATCATTCATAGCTCTGAAAGGTGTTTAGATAGAATAGTTTGCGATAGGAAGAGGTGACAGAAGTGGTCCCGAACAGAAATTACGATATCAAGCACAGCTGTGCAAAAAGCTATTTTAAGCAAAATTAACGAAAAATATTGCTCAAAATCGTGGCAAGACACGCTCTCTCTCGCTACTGTTCTCTATAAATTTCTAAATGTTCAGTTTTTTCCAGTACACATTGAGAATGAGAGGGGCCATAGAGGGGCGCATAAGGTTTTTGGGTGGGCGACAGTTGGACGGCAGGCGCGCCCGCAGGCAACCGAATGAGCAACTGTCGGGGCGCTGGCCCACCTTACACTCGGCTCCGCACTCCGCGACCCGCGCACTCCCCGCCACCCGCACTCTCTCGCCCCTGCTGAGGATTACGGTATCTATTCCTCGGTTGAGAAGAGGAGGCGCATCAGTATCGCTCGACACCGATAAGCACGTGATCTTACAACGTTTGCTATGAGTACTGAAGATCCGGGTTGTTCAGCTAATCGATAGTGAAGAACATGATTTTCGTCTTTGACTATGAGTAAGAGGTTTGGGAGGATTGAAAAGTTTTGAAAAAGTGGGAAGTTTGCAGACAGTTTTTCTTTTTGAAATTTATAGATCTCGTTAGCATGGGAGTAAAAATACCTGCAGTTTAACGTTTTATCATGAAAAGATCTTCTCAAGCTCATGGTTTTGATTTTGAATTGCGCAATTTTGCGAGAAAACCTATACTTTCCCTTACCAACCTTTCTATAACGGTTTGGTGTTGAGGCAATAATAGCTCAAAAGCTCCATTTTGTCATGTCAATTCCTTCAGGAACCTTGTAAATGTAGAATCTGCAATAAGATTTTGTTCAACTGCTAGTTTTGGACGCCGATTTACTTCACGCTTATGAAAATTCAAATAGCTCTTATTGCGACTTGGAGGGGTTTGCAAGCCTTAGAATTCAAGCATTTTTACATTTGACTGTATAACTTATTTTGCTAGTTTTATGGATTGAATTATTATCCACTGAGTTAGGTTATTTAGGCGCGGTCTCAAGTAATTTGAATCAATTAAATCTATATGCCAACTATATTACTTTTTTTAAGTGTTTATGCGATTCTTTTCGCGCTGCGAGTGATTTTATGTTGGTAACGAATATAAGACCTCAAGCTCCTCCGTTTTTTGACCTTATCAAAACTAAAAATTTAGTTTCTTTCACTATTCTCCAAGCAAAGATGTTACAGAAAAGGTACGTAAAACTCATTGCCAGTCTTGGTCGACGACTGAGATGCTAATATGCTTTTGTTTCTTTTCTTTGATACTATAAGTTGTTCACCGCCACAACGTTAACAAGCTTCGATTCTCTGATTTAGTATTTTATACGGAAGTTTTCTTATGCAAGAGACTAGAATCAGCAAAAAATCTTGAGAAATCCTTGAAATTGATGTAAACAGGCTCTTCAATGCTGACCTATCCTCAACTTCTCGGATCTCCTTTCCATTCTGTACCGCTACCGCATCGTATTTCAGCGCTGGCGGCGAAGCTAGCGCTAAAGGGAGAAGGATTAGCACATCGTCAGATCACAGCAATTTGTCCGCGTATCCGATTTATGTTCTGCCAATTCTTTTACTCTTTGCGGGTGACATTCGGGAAACGTACACGGTTTCTAATTGAGCTTCTGGTGTGTTAAACGTTTCTACACTTCTCTTCATTATTTTTCAGCATACTGTATCTTAGGGTTTCGCGCAATCAAACCTGCTGTGAGGGCATAAAAAGGAACATATTTTCAAAAATTAATCTTTGGTTCATTCCTGCTATTTTAGAGCATTTTGGTCAGATTTTCTAAGGAATGAAGCCAAAGGGACTGGAATGATGCTAGAGATTACTGTACATAACACGCATTGCTCTGAATGCTCACCTGTCAGCGTTCACAGCGATTCTTTATTCACTTTCAGCTGAATTCATTATAGAGATATCTAAATTTGCATGTCATGTACTTGGAAGATTCTTCTACTACTTAATCGGATTTTTTTATAATATTTTCGAAGAAAAATTCGTCGCATAGTAGAATGATTATTCCATGTAGCATTGAACTTAGCAGAAAATGGTCAGAACTTATCCCAGCCATTCCAAACAAGCTGTATATGACCGGACTAGTCTTAAAACGCTGTTTTAATTGTGTTTTTTTGTCTGCGAAGCGACTATCTGGGAGGAGTTATGAATGCTTAAATATGCGATTTGTCAAGTGTTCTGTGGCGCATGTTCCACGAAATTTTCAAAAACGCTTATTTAGATTTATGGTGGATGTGCTTCTTTATTGTGATTGAAATAACCATAGCCACTGTAAATCCGCGCCATCAGGCTGCCTTTCAAGCGAACATATTCGTCAGAACTCGAAAAAATTTTCATATTTGACCGCTCGTAACTCCTCCCATATAGTCGCTTGGCAGATAAAAAACATATATTTGAGTTCAGCGTTTTAAGAGGAGTCCGATTATATAGAGCTTGTTGGAAACGGCTGGATTAAGTTCTGACCATTTCCTGCTTAGCAAAAAAACCAAATCAACGAAGTCCTATAAGCTTCTGCTTTCCATTATTGTTTCCCATTATAGAATTACATTTGCAAATCTGTGAACATGATGACCGAATTGGTTTTGAAAACGCGAGCATGCTCCTACTAAATACTTGGCTTCTGTAAAACTCTTGATATTTTTGCAGAAAGAAATAATTCTAAAGAGATGTCTAACCCGGCTCATACACTCTTGATTTGAGGATTCATTCAATAACTATAATACAATGTAACTATAATACATGTTTCTCCTTTTCCACCTATCTTTTCCCGTGAAAAATGGAAGATAAACGATTGTACTTGTGAAAATGAACTTTTGATAAATGACGTTATATCGAATTTTTGATGGAAGCTCAACAACTATTAGTTGTCCTTAGTATGTCGCTTGTCACCTCACTCATCCGGAAAAACGCAAATGATTTCTAATTGAAAATGCGTGCCGTCCGTTTATTTATTTTACCTCGCATTTTTTGTAATAACAGCGGAATCTTACAGATCTACTAAAAAGGCTTTGCCGCATCTTGCGTAATGCTAATTCCTGTGCTTCGGCCATTACGCAAGCGCGATTCCGTAGGTGAGGAGGAGCCGAGCGAGCGTCTGGCGATGGTGAGCAGGCGGCTGCGCATAAATCTGCGAGTCGTGTCGTCGTATGAAGTGCAGCCAAGCCATGTTTATGACTCTTTATGAGCCACGAGGACACGGGCATTGTCGCCCCTGTCCAGAGTCGTTTTTCGCTAACCGGAGCTGCTGGTCAGCAAGCGCCGACCTGGTGCCGTCAGCTTGTGATTTCCAGATGGGAACTTTTGGTGACAGCGGAAATGAATAATGGGAATGAGAGGGTCAAGGATGAGTTCTGCGTTTTGATTCACTTCCAACAAAAGAATACCACCAAAACTACCACCCACTGATAGTCGAACATTTGTGACTTCACATGCGTACTGCACAGTACGCGCGACACTTCACGACATAGTTGCTTAATTGGATTTTGTTACCCATCTTTAGAATTTTCTTCGTTTACTTTTCTTTTTTGGCTTGCTTAGATAGTCAGTGGGTAGTTGTATACATTTCCGATTTCCGAACAAATTGTTCCGCTAAAACGTGTACGATTTATTGAAGAGTCGTTTATTTGTGCGCGTAGTGTGCAGATTCACATTGGGTTAGAATTGACAGACTATACAAGAAGTTCGCTCCTGGATGCAAAACTAATGTGCTTATAGTCGAGAATAGAATTTTGTGATGTCCTTCTTTTAGGTGTCAGCTGAGAAATAAAGGAATATTGAAATATGCTGCAAACAAGCCAGGCTTTATTTTAATTTATTTTTCGTTTTCGTTTACCGTTTCACATGGCCTCTCATTATAGAGCTTTTTTTTCTTATGTGGACACGGCAATCTTATCTATTGAAATAGTAAAAGTATTTGAATTTTTGGCAAAATCTGTTTACTTCACGAATGAATGAAAATCACGCAGAAATAAGGAATAAATACTGTATCTATAGAATTTGGTTGTTTGTTTTTTGCCAATCTATCATTCCTATTCTCTGTAACTGATTTGATATTTTCGGAAAGCAAGAATATTTAGACATAAATATAAATTCGCATGTCTTGATCAGGAGAAAGCAATCTAAATAATCGAAGAAGTACTCCTCTCAGAATGAGCTATTGTGCCTGAACTCCTGCGGGTACAAATATAAAATTACAGTCAAAAATTCATCATCATCAACGGAATACCATTATTTATTAGCATCATTCACTGTAAAGATAGTGAAATACTGTACAAACTATTCACAACAATGAAAAACAAATATCAGACAAGATTATAATTTTCGTCTCGTTTCCGTGTATTCACTATACACTCATAGACTGGAGGAGACACAGTCAACCCTAGCAATCGCTTTGTGGACAGCTCTTTCCCTGGTGGGGCTCTAAACTCAAACTGCTTCAGAAGATTGCTGAATATCAGAAACAGCTCTGCTCTGGCCAACGATTCTCCCAAACATTGACGTTTTCCAACGGAAAAAGGAAGAAATTCGTCGATTCGACGGAGTTTTCCGTTCTCATCAAGAAACCGTTCTGGACGAAAACGTTTCGGATCGGGAAAGATGCACTCATCATTCATGAGGATCGAGATTTGCGGAATCACCAGAGTTCCTTGGGGAAAGTGATAATCATCGATGGAAACGTCTTCAGCGACAGTTCGAAGCAAATTTATAGGTAGTATATTGGCAAAGCGCTGGATTTCCTGAAAAATATCAAAGTCTTTCAAAAAAACGTAATGAAAATAATCTGAATTCTACAAATCTGTATCAAAAAAATTCTTTGTTTAGGAAGCGGTGTCGTCAAAAAGTGACGAAGGAAAAAGTGACTGCTAGGAATGGGGAATATGTTCATGAATAATTATAACAAAGTCTCATCGTTTGACGCAAAAAATGCTCAAAATATCCAGAAGAAAAATCAACACTTGGCATCCACTCACCCTGTTCTGAACAACCGTTTTTAGGAAATAAGTTCTAAGAGAATGATGTTTGTCATTTAGAATTTGGAAAGTGTGATTTTCTCCAGTCTCAGCGAATTTATTATAAAATATGCAAAAAAATAATGGAATATGAGTGCTGCTCAGCACCAGAATATCTGGCAAGTTACAAAAATACAAGTTTCAAAAAAAAACTCCAATCATTTTGTTTTTCAAAATTCCAGGACTAGATAAGAAGCGCAAGAAAATCACCAAAATCTGATTTCCAATTTGTTTTTGGTTTTACGTTTGTTGGCCATTTCAGGTAGAAAATTAAGTTGTTCGCTTGTCTATGGAAATTTAGAAATTCTGGGAAAAATGTTTCTGTTTGATTCCATCACAAATTAATGTCTATATTGATAACATGATATACAATGACATACTGTGGACAACTGCTGAAGCAATTTTTCAAGGAATTTCTGTCGTAAGACTAAGTCTCCATAGTGGCATTTGCGAAATTCTAAAAAGAGAGATCATTTTTAGTTTTTTTTTAACAAGCTTCTTGCAATGGAAAAATAGTGCCTCATGCTCTAAAAGGCATTCCCTCTTCCCTCTTCATATAAAGACCATTCCAAGCATTTTGTTCCAATCGCTAATACTGATCTCTTACTCGGCGTTTGTTAAACTATTCTTGTCGCGATTTACATACAGTATCTGGCGGTGATCGTCTTTTTAGTGCCGAATGAGAAGCGAGTTGTAAAGGTCACGCCGCAATGAGGTATTGACGGATGAACGGGGCTGAGTGTAACAGGAGAGGAAGAAAAATTCGAGACTCTGATCGGATAATCAAAAACAGAGAAAGATGGGGATGAGAAGAAAGAACTATTGAGAAAAAAGGTCTTCAAGGAATACTCGAAATCAAAAATATGAAAAAGGAGTGTAGAAAAAGTTGAAAAATATAAAAAAACAACAGAAAAATTTTGAGCCAAGCTTACATTTATCACAGCCTGAGTGTAAGGCAAACGAGGTCGATCAGCCAGAGTCACTCTACTACCCATGCATTGATTATCGAGTTCTTCTTGTACTTTACGTTGAATTTCTGGATGACAAGCAGCCATGAGGAAACCCCATTTCAGTGTAGTCACAGTAGTTTCCATGCCAGCAAAGAACAGATCCAACAATAGCATTTTCATCTGCCAATCGCTAAAAGTTAATTTTTACTCGAAAAAATTGTTTATCAGAAGGCTTCAACCCACTCAAAATAGCCCATATCACTGCCAGTTTGTCGTCGATTTTCCATTTCTCGCATATAAGTGAATGTAAAATCATCTTCAACCGCTTCGCCACGAGCAAGCCTCAATCTATGGTCCTGAATTGAAATTTCACAAACTTCAAATTGTACAGATTGTCTTGCAAAGTCTATGTTGGTCCCACATCGATCTGTTTCTGAAGAAAATCGTAAAGCTGCTGGCGAATAGCCATCAAATCAGCCCATTTTCCGTTCAACAGAGGAATGTCTGTGGTCCATGGAGCAGCGATGTAAAGACCCATTATAGGATTTATCACAAGTCTTGATTGTTGGTCCAGAAGCGAATGAAGATGATGCATTTCAGCTGAGCCCTAGAAATATAATAACAATTTGAACAAGGTACTATGCTACGGGGACGAGCGAAAAAATTTTTGCATCAAAGATTGAAATAAATAGTAAGAATATTGGTATTAGGTTGGTGAAAAGTAATCGTTTTGCGATTTCTCATTTTGACGTGTTATAGCCTTCTAAAAAATTTACAATTTTCAATGCAGTAAAAAACATTGGAGGCAGCAAACCTTTCGCAATAAAGCGCACACCTCCCTATATTTATATCACTAACGGGAGATAAATATGGATTGATGAACAGAAAAAGTTTTTTTTCTGGAACTTCGTCTTTGACTAATCATAACTTTCTTCAAATTTGAAGTAGCCTATATTGTAGCCGAAAGCCAATAATACAAAAAAGTTGAAAAGGACTCAAACAAAGAGGGCTTGCGAAAAGAAAAAAATTAAAATCCAAGATTGTCCGCTTTTTTGGACAATTTTTCGCAGGCCTAAAAATCCCAAAGTATGGAGTTTTCTGATTTTCTGCGTAATGAAGAGCTACACAACTCCATAAAAAATGTCAGTAGGAGGCCCCCCCCCTTACGCTTACAGAAAAGAGCAAAGCTTTGGCGATTGCCCTCTTCAAAGGAAATTTATGGGTCACAGAATAATTGAAACGACTGCTCATGTTGAAATGCCGAAATCTTAGCCTAGGAATTTCTGAGGAAAGAGTAAAATATGCATAATGTAGAGAATTTCCATCAAATACAGTAACTAGACTTTCAAACGTTTGCCTTTATTGGGCTTGGTTTCTGGCCGGAAAAGTAGATGCAATGAAACTCTGGTTTCGAGTGCGGTTGTGTGAACTCTATTATTTTTTAACTAATGAAGGAAGCCCGTTTTAATCACCATTGGATAGAGGATGAAAGGAGCTTCTTGACAGTGTGCTAAATGTTTTCCGAAGAAGAAAGTTTGATGGAGGAAAGTTGTCCTAAAACAAGGGCTAGGTAGACGGCATTACTTTTGCACCATCCTAATAATATACAGATCCAAAAGTGTAAATCTAGTGTAACGGTAAGTTCGTTGTTATGCTGACCACAACGCTGCATCCAGAGTCTGTCGAGCCAGCGCCGTTCCAGTGCCGTGCCGGACTGCGTTAGGATAGACGCACGACGCTCGCACGGCGCTGGCACAGCTCTGGAGCGGCGTGGCACATTGTTAACTCCAAAAGCAAAATAATTCACCAACCATGTGCTTACCTGAGGAAATCGCATCCCGAAAAGCATATTGTTGATAACATTTCCAACGCAAACAGCTATAGGACTACTCATTGTAACTCGTCCTTGGTTCTCGCGAAGATAAGTGGCAAAGGCGTTTACCTAAAATAGTCACTGTTGAGGAGCATCCAGTATTCATAGTCACTCAAAGACGCAGGCAATGCTTCCACTGCGGCGGTGGGGTAGCAATGCCTTTGAGTCGCGAGCGCAAAAGACGCGCAACCGCGCCGCACCAGTGGTTGCATGGCCTCCTACGTTGTTGACTACGCTGTATGTAATATATAACTACCTCATCCATAATTTTTCCTTCCATCAAAGCTCGTCCAACGCCAAAATCTCTCAAAACATGAAGAGAAAATCGTCGTTGTTCCCTCCATTTTGGACCATCAATTTGTACGACGCCGTTTGCTCCACCTGTGAAAAATCCAATAATTTACGGATCATCCGTCCCATACACGCAGGAATTCGCTAATTTTCTTGCGGGCAAATCAGACCACGAATTGCAATTAGAGGCTCGTCTCACGGTCATCCGGTGTGGTTTTAGGTCACAAAGATCAGCGAAAGAAGTCACTTTAGCTCCATAAAAACAACAAAATGAGCTAGCAAGGCCTCTTACCCATAAAGGTGTCCGTGACATGGTTTCGCCATCTATTACTGAATAATTCGGCATTCTGTACAAAATATTTCTTAATGGACGCCAAGTCGCTGACCATCACTAATGGAATAGGACCAATCCATATGGTGAATACACCACCATACTTAGCCTTCCACGACTGGAAGAGATCATCTATGGAGGAAGCTAAAAAATTCCTTAGTACATTTATACTTGTATAAAAGGTTAACTTGTATAAAAGGTTGAAAATCTTACAGAAGAGAAAAGCTGGCATATTGCCAGCTACAAGCCATGGTGTTGGACCAGGAGGTAACCGTCGCCTTTTGTGGATTAATTCGTAGAAAAGGTAAGGCACAAGAAATAACAGAAGTGAGTAGAACTGGAATAATTTTTCATTATAAAGGATTACTTTTCGTTTTTCATGAAAACAAGCCATATTTACATTTTTTGAGCTAATTACGGTAATTAAGTCCAAGGTTGAACATTCCTCATAACTTTTTTCATGCGGTTAGCCTAGAATCAGGTCAGTTTTAAGGCAGAGGAAGGCTGATTGATGGATTATAAGTTAGGCGCGCAATGATTGTAGCAGTTTTGAACGTTTTTATGAAATATGCAAAAATATGTAGAGACTAGTCCCAGAAGAAGGCGTGGTTTATCGTCGCGATGCGGTTGCAAAGCGGCGCTCAAGCACATATCATCGTGGAGCGCGTGGAATGCACATAGTAAATGCTGTTTACCGTCTGATTGAAAATTTGATAATAATGGAAGGTGTTCGGAAAAAATCAGATGATCAATTTTTGTTGAGCGAAAATTATTTTTTGATGACGAGATGGTGCAGAAAACCGGAAAACGCAGATTTTCCCACCAGATTTTTGGCAAATTATGCAACAAAGAACGAAATGAAATTGAAAGGAAATTGTAGGATTGATACACACACATACAGTTCGATATTTGCAACCACTTACATGGTCAAAGATGGCCATACTCAACCAAATTACCTGTGCCCTCACTATTAGCTGAAATTGAAATTCAAAAAGCCAACAACGGTTCCTCAGTACGCTAGTCATATGCATACTTTTCATTTATCAACGACAGGAAGTTCAAATATCTGACATGTTAGGGTAAAGGCTAAAATTAGCTCCACAAAAAATCTTGGTCGAATAACAGCTACTCAGATTGTTGTATAGTTTCGTAATTGCATTTAGCCAACCTAAAGGGCCGGGCATACTTCACGCGATTGCAGTCGCGACGCGATTTTGCAATTTGCCAGAAGTCTCCAGATCCAACACTAGCAAACTGCACATGCATAGTGTGTATAACTTACGTGGACTGATAAAATGCCCTATTTTCTGTACATTAGAAATGTGCTTACAGTGAGTTATGGACAATTGGAACATTGCCAAATCGCGTCGCGACTAAAATCGCGTGAAGTATGCCTGGCCCTTACACATAATCGCTCTTCAGCTACCGAACCCAATCAAACTTACATTGAACAATAAAGGCAGAAATCGAGCTATCCGCAGTAGAATTATGCCTGCACAAACACCACACACTAACTGTGTGCAGTTCACAGCAACTTTCTCCGATTTTTCGACGTATTCCATCAGGGTAGCATAATCCAAAAACAGTTTCGGCGTAATCTCCAAGGTTTCCTGGAAATCAACCATGAATGAGTTCGGAGTTCCAAATTCGACATCCGAATCGAAACAGATAAAAAAAGCAAGCAGAAGTGGTGTCAAGGCAGAATCTGTAAAAGTCATAGATGTCCAGACAGTTATGCATGTTTGTGAAAATGGAGAAGTACTTGTCTACGTGAAGAACACGGTGATTGTTGCAATCCACATTAATAATAAGTGTTAGCAATTGAAATTTCGATGTATAAGCGTACATCGGCGACGCGGATCGACGCCTCTGAGTCGTTGAGGCAGCACATGAAAGAAGATGCGCAGACAGCTAGAATGACGCTTTGCGCTTCTCGCGCATCGTGGAGAAAAATCTACTGTACATAATGAGACACAAGACATGACAGTGCCATGAAATTATCTCTTTTAAGCCTTGATCTGAAACATATGTAAGTTCCGCAACGAAATTCCTCAAAATTTGCCTTCAGTTACACTTAAATTGAATTTCAATTTTTGTGACCTGCTCTTTCCGGCTAAATGATTTCGTATGAATCCCACCAACACTCATAATTCTCGAATTTTTCAGTTTTTAGTTATATTCAAAACTAAGTTTCAAGATATAAACAAAATATAGAGGTTATTCTGTATGAGATATAAAAAAGCTTTCTTTGAGCGAATTTTTTGAATTGTCTGGTAGAGACTTACGTTCCAACTGTAAGGTGAGTGGAATTTACACATGTGCAGATTAAATTGGCGAGACCATCCCGCGAATATGCTAGTATCGTACGAGCGCAATATCCAACCACTGTTCATGTAGAAGTTCATCTTATATATAAAGCTGAATGTCTGTTTGTCTGTCTGTCTGTATGTATGTACGTATGTTCCGAATAGAAAATTCCATTTCTGAACCGATCCGGACCAAACTTGGCACACATACACTACGGGCCCCGGCGGGTGTCATAGGCTACTTTTCGTCATCGATCGATATCGATTTTATCGATTTTTATCGATTTTTTTGCAAAGTTTGAGCTACGGGGCTGGGAGTTTGCACAGGGGGGGGGGTAATCGAGCATGCTGATTACGAATACAATATTGGTTTTCAGGATTATCGATTACTTTTATCGATTTTATCGATTTTTTTGCAAAGTTTGAGCTACGGGGCTGGGACTTGGCACAGGGGGGTAATCGAGCATGGGGATTCCGAATACAATATTGGTTTTCGGGATTATCGATTACTTTTATCGATTTTATCGATTTTTTGCAAAGTTTGAGCTAGGGGGCTGGGAGTTGGCACAGGGGGGGGTAATCGAGCATGCTGATCATCCCCAAGGGGGTGATCAGCATGCTCGATTACACCCCTGTGCCAAATTCCAGCCCCCTAGCTCAAATTTTGCAAAATCGATAAAATCGATAGAAGTAATGGATAATTCCAAAAACTAATATTGTATTCGTAATCTGCATGCTCGATTACCCCCCTGTGCAAACTCCCAGCCCCGCAGGTCAAACTTTACGAAAAAATCGATAAAAGCGATAAAAGTAATGGACGATCCTGAAAACTAATATTGTGTTCGTAATCGGCATGCTCGATTACCCCCCTGTGCAAAATCCCAGCATCGCATGTCAAAATTTACAAAAAATCGATAAAATCAATAAAAGTAACCGATAATTCTGAAAACTAATATTGTATTCGGAATCCCATGCTCACTTCCCCCCTGTGCCAACTCCTAGCCCTGTAGGTGAACTCTGCGAAAAAATCGATAAAAATCGGTAAAATCGACATCGATCGATAACGAAAAGTGGACTGTGACACGCGCCGGGGCCCGAAGTGTATGTGTGCCAAGTTTGGTCCGGATACGGCGGAGCCGGGTAAGCCAGCTAGTCTTTCATATAAGCCTCTATGTGCAAAGTGGGCTTACACCATGTCAGCCAGAGATGGATGTGGATAATTATGCAATTGTGGACAAAAACTGACATAATTGTTGGATTGGTCGCGCTGCCTTCAAAGTAATGCGGAACAAACAATTTCAATTGCATACGCAATTATGCAAATTATAAATATAGCAGGAAGGAGATCACAATGAAATACGTATGGAAAATTCTTACTGATTTATAGGTTAACTAAAATCTCACCTAGGTTGATAAAATAAATTAAGTAGCATACTCAAAATTTGGGCTTTGTGTCAGCGAGAATAAGGAATTTTACCTTAGGATTGAATGAAATGCTGGAAAGGTTTGAACATGCAATTATTTTATTCTGTAAAATTTGGAAAAACTCGCATTTGTCAAGTAAATAGAGCAAATTATCGTACAGTTGAATTATACGTCGAAAACACCCTGAATTCTGAGAGACACCCCTCTCTCTTTTAAGTTTTCATCGATGCTGCTTTCTTTACAAATGTTCTGATATTGACCTTCATAGTATATTATTTACGTATAAACCTATGCCGGACTGGATGAACGATTGAAAACTCAGGGGCAAAAAATGGAGATTTAGGGGGAAAAATTTTCAAACAAGTTGGAGGGGACATTTCCGTAGGATATCATTCGAATATTCATTTTGATCTGGCCTACTGCAAGAGCATTGCTATGGAACTTTGAATAGGATATTTGCAATGCTTCAAAAATCCATTGACTTCTTCATTTTTTGAAACTTCTATCAGGTCTTAGTCCAAAGGTTCGACATCAAGGCTGTCCAAATCGAATCCGTTGCGCGTGCCGCCTATACCGGTGAAATCTTCTCGTACCGGTCCATTCTCCATAAAACCGATCAGAAAATGGGACGAACAGCAATCAGTGATTGGAACCAGGGCACTTTGTATTTACATGGTAATTTGGATTAGAGATGCATGAGAGGCTAGCATGACAAGCAGAAAGAATGGTAGGATGAGGTTACCTAGGATAACCAAGGTATATATATTTGTTTCATATCTAGAATTGCAAATTGAGTGAGAGAGCATGATTGGACTTTTTGAAATCTCCCATTGTTGGAATTTGAGCGATGAATGATAATGTAGGGTATGATCATAGTCTTGCACCACAACATCTGAAAATCCTTCAAAAAATCCAATAAAGGCCATATTTTCTATTTGATAGCCTTCTGGTGTCTAGGATCAGACCGGAAGCTGAAAATTCTTTGCGATTTTCATTTTTTGTTTTAGTTCTCCTCCGCTAAAATCAAAAATGTGCAGATTATCTAAATTTGAACTATACCCCTTCCATAGTTCTTCACTCATGTGTGGTGTATTTTATATACAATAGGGGTGTTATTGAATTTTATGAAGCAAATGAACAAAAATGTGGAAACGGTAAGTGACTGAAGAAACATTCGAACAGCACGAATTTTTCTTGGATAGAGAAAGGTGATTACAAAACCACAGTGAAGATCCAAAATGAATTTTAGCAGATTTTAATTTTTGTGCATAGCACGAAGTTTTCATTCAAACACTACTAAAAAGCTCACAATTTTATCTCTAATATGTATTTCAAAAGATTTAGTAACTACTCAGAAAATTACAAGTTTTTAAGATTTCTGTGACTAATACGCCAGCCCAATATTTGATCAAACTTCAATCTTCAAACTTCTCAAAAATTTACCGCTTCCGTATATCTAACCCCAGGAACTTACAATTTTATGCATTGTCAATTTTCAAGGAACTACCGTTCCATGTGAATTTGATCCTTGAGCATTTTATTGTTTCAGAGTAATCAAATTTAATGCCACTAGAATATAGCTCTGATAAATTCTGATCAATGATAACACTCAAGACAACACCAAGAGAAAGGAGAATGATGAAAATGGAAAACGCCGTCGTCGAAGTGAAGGAGAGACTCGGCGGATTGCGAACCATGGATGCGAATTGTGTCATCGCCAGCCACTACTACAGCAGCGCACGCCCCTCTGGACAGGGTTTACTGGAGGATTCACTGAAGGTCTGGTTTTTGGAAGAACTTAAGTCTGAGGTTACGGTGAAGCCTACGACTCAGAAGGAGCTAAAAAGTCACAAATTCACAAAAGAAATGCTTTTCTTATGCTGAAAACTACAAACGAGTATAGTCGAAATGATTTTCTTAACTTTGGCTAAATTGTTCTAGACGGTGGAGCTTATTGCCATTTACTTCTTCAACATTGATTTCTTATTTATTCAGCTTGAGTAATACACACTATAAAGAGTACATTACAGCGTATTAAAATATTATTACTTAGCGTATATATACTCATTTCATTCGTTTATTTGTCACAATTCCAAAAATCTTTGCTTGCTTTGGCTAAATAATATAAAAAGTTTCAGTCGGTCAATGTTCTGATTTATGAGGTTATATTAGAATTTATTTTATTTTTCACTCACGTCTTCAGCTTTTAGGTTAAATCCCTATCATTTCCAATAGAAATGATATTTTGTAGTTCAATAAAAAGTTGCTGCAATAAGCAGATTTTTAGCAATCCAGTGTCTACTATAGGGTCATGTAGCTTCAACAAAAAATATTTCACTGTCTCGAGATTACCAAAATATTTTAGGTATATAATAATTTTGGTAAAGCATAATTTGCTTCAAAATTTTAGCCAGTAATTGGTCGTGCAGCACCACCAAGCTCGGATATGACGCAATTTTTTTTGTTAGAAAGCACTGCGAAAGGTCTGAAAATATCCATTTGCTTAGGTTTCCCTGAGAAAGCAAAAAATGTCCTTTCTTCAGATTTCCGGTGTTTTTTTTCCTACCATAAAATATTCAAGCTTACTTCCACCATATATGAGGAACTTCCGCGATTGCCTTGCAGTCAAAGTTTCATACCGTTCACTTGCAGTGACCCTTTTGTGCTAAAACAACTTTTTGTTCAGTAATTTTTAGTAATGTTCGATGGGCATTTTGTAGAACAACCTCCTCGCAAACACTCAAGTTTTTGAAAAATTCCGCCTCTTTCCGGTGGATGTAGAGCAAGGAATGTGAGAATTTTCAGATTTGATATCTTATTTACAAAGTTTCCTGCACAAGAGTAGAGTAGTAGTAGAGAGTATTTTTGAGCGACCCAAAAATTCTTTTTTCAAAAATGGTTTCTTTTACTTAATTGGCATTCAAATAAGGCGAAATTGTTTTAGTGCTGTCCCTAAAACCTGAAATACCTGAAATTCTATAGTCTCACCTTAAAATCTTGAAACTTTTCAGATTCAGTACATTATACGGATCACTGCAATGATTAAATAGGATAATAACCATACAAGAACCTGCTATAGGAGAGTTTACTCCGGTTCTTTTGCTATTCACCGTGACTGTGTAGAGAAGTGGACACCTTGTATGGTCACTTCCTGTTCCTGGATTTGCCACTAGGAAACCAGAATTGCACAACATGCAAGTGCTGTAGGTGCGATTATCCTTCCTTTTTCAAAGGATGGCTTACCTCTTCTCGAAATGCTTCAAATGAGATGTGCATCTCATCCGTTTGTAGACTTGGTCTTGAAGAAGGGACTCAGCAGACAAATACAGTAACCAAACTAGGATTCGTTGGGGATGTATCGTCTGTACCCCAGAAGTATTCCCATAAGTACCATCAATGTGGCTCCCCTCGATCACTTCAACTCAAGTAACCCTAAAATCAACAAGTCTTGTCGCAAAGTCGACACCAGAGTTGAATTATAGGCAGCATCCCGGCAGAATTTCGCTTACCACTTTTTTACCCATATGGAACCTGCCCACCATGAGAAACTCATATCTGGACTTTTTAGCGCATGAAAATGACGAAATTGAGCCTTTTTAGAAGCTTTCCAGGTCCGCATTTATTGAACATACGCAGAAAGTCTTCCGTACCTCCACCCTCCTCTTGTTCCTGGCTCCACCCACTTCTTATTTTCCACTGAATGCGGACCTAGAAAGTTTTGAAAAAAAGCTCATTTTCACTTCCATTTCTGCGCTGAAAAGCACAGATATAGATTTTTCATGGTGAGGAAGCTCCGAAAACGTGAAACACTGGAAAAGGAAATTTTGCCGGAACACTGCTATTAAAGGTATTTTGTGTAAACATTATTATTTAGAAACCCCAAAGAGTCATGTAAAATAACTACTTTCTATGCTCAACGCCAATTCAACTGCCACAAAAGCTTTTTGCTGACTGCGTTTAGTAGCAAAAAATGTTAGAGTTTACAAACCTTGAACTTTTTGATACAGACTTTATTCAAAAATCGCCCTTTCGGCGAAAAGACTAATCTATAGCGTTGCTTCCCCTCCACCTTTTGCCTCAAATTGACCCTGATTTCACGATCATAAGACGCACCCGTTTTTTTTTATAAACTCGACCAGCTTGAATGCAAAAAATTCTGTGACCGAAGGACCTTATGCCGTGCTGCGTATTGCCTGAGCGCATCGTGCGGCATAAATTTCGTTTTCGGGAACACAACGACGCGGCTGAGCAGCTCTTGAAAATTCTCTTGTACTCGTAAAATTAGGGTGAACTGAATCTCTTTAATAGATAACGCGCCCCAACTCCGAGAACTTATGCCTCTTGAGCACTAAAATTTTGGGTGGAGGACTATACATATGTCGCCGAAAAAGAGCGGTCCTTGCGGTCATTTGCGACAAATACGCACCCTTATACATGCGTGGACATGCGTTCCTCAGGGAATCCGCGCGGGACTCTTCCAAATCCGGCGACGTATAGTCCTCCACCCTAAAATTTTCATTTTTAATTTAGCTCATATTTTCCGTCTTAAGCCTTACGGTGATGAATTTTTAAAGAGGAGCGTTTTTCTTTTCAATTCTCTATTTTCGCCTTTTACGGTGCATTGAACGCTCTGGAATAGAAGGAGATCCGTAAAAATTCTGCATAGTTAAAGCAGATTTCGTTTTTGACACACTAAAAGCTAAGTAGTCGAAGTAGCCTGCTTGGCTTTCGAATATTAATACGAACCTTCATTCATACTTGACATCAAGTGGATTTACTTACTGCAATTGCCACTATTTCCCATGAGCGCGCGGATTTTGATTTTTAGTGCATTTGCACTAGACATCAGAACTCGACGGCTTCGTAGATGCTGGCGCGTTTGAATACATTTTCGCTGAAAAGTCCATGAATACTACTGTAATAACGAAATGCATTTGGTACTTAAATAATGAATGTAGAGCGCTAAGCGTGCTTATAGCCATTTTTTCCTTCTTTGGGGTGAGTCGTTTGATGTGAAGCTGCTAATTTCATGGAAAAGTGCCTACGGCTGATATTCCCCATTATGAAGGGGATAGTTTATAGCTAAGATTGTTCTAAGCCGTATCCATATCCCAAACAACGAGATTACGGAAGTCATCTGCCCTCTGGCTGCCGGCCACGGACACCTCAACAATCGATGCCGACGTCGACATCTCTGTGCTCTCCGCTGGCAGCCATAATTTCTCAATGGCCAGCCTGGCCAGCTTTTCCCAAAGCACTGCATTTGCTTCTATCTTCAGAAACCATTCCATATAATGATACCACGATTACGGCCATGAAATTGTCTTTTTTGTCGTAAGCCATGATTTTTGAGCACTAGTCTTTTTTTAACTCTCTTTAAAATGTACACCTATTGTGAGTCTAGGGCGCTCGAAAACGTTTCGTAAACGCTGTTTAACAAACTTAAACTTGTCAAGTCGTAAACTTGTAATTCAACTCATGCAAAATGAAGCAATTACAAGTATAAACTTGTTGGTAACAGGTATGCAAATCGTTAGAGAGTCCCAGTCTCAGAATATTAGTACCATTCATTGTGAAACTAATAAGTCCGCGGGCATATTTCACGCGATTTCAGCGACGCGATTTGGCATCACTCCAAGGTGTCCATACCTCATTGTAAGCTTATTCAAATGTATGGAAGACACCGCATTTTATCAATCTGTGGAGATTTTACACGTTGTAGATACATTTCTAGTCTGCCAGAGTTGGATCTGAAAACATTTGGCAATTTGCCAGATCGCGTGGCAACCGCGTGAATATGCCCGCGGCTTGAAAGACTCGAAAACGGTTTGCACACATTGTCAAAACAAATTTGATCGAGTGATCAACAAGTTTATACTTGTGATGTGTTTAATCTAGGATTATTCGCTCCTGTGCAACAGAAAAGAACAGGTTCAAGCTTGTTTAGAATGCGTGCAGGGCGGTTTCGAGTCTCTCAGTTTGAGAGGTTAGGCCCCGGCCAGACTTCGCTCGAAAGCGCCCAAAAGCGCCGAAGTTTCTCTAACCTTTCTTCACTTTCTCTATCTCTTCTCACACGAGAGTAAAGAGACTTGAAGAATTTTGGGCGCCTTTGGGCCCCTTTGAACGAAGTCTGGCCGGGCCCTTACACGAATCAAAGGATCTTAGAAAATCAGAACAACCTCGTCCTAGAGTTTAGAAACAATTTTACCCCAAAATTTTCGGGATTCTGGGATATTGGCATAATCGCGTCAGTTGTTTGACAAAAACTGTCTTGTCGTTCACAACAAATCGCCAGCTTCCGTTGGAAAAAAACCCGATTTCGAACAAATGCTTTTGTATGCATGAGAATTTGCATGCATTTTCATCGCCCCGTGTCACAATGACAATAACACCCCGAAACTCACACTTCGCTGCAGTTTCCGGTTGAATTGAGTTTCCACGAAAACGAAACCCGCTAAACATATGGAAATATTCCCACTAAAGAAGTGAATACGTGCACAGACATTATACGAACAGTTGTCATCTGCCACTCTCTCTGTGTGCCAACGTTTCGATGGCTGAGGTTGTTAACTTGCTTTTTTACTTACTATACTTTACAATTCTTGAACTTTTTCGGCTTATGTTGAAAAATGGCTAATAGATGCCAAATAATAGCGGAATGTATCTAAAAGTAGAGATGTGCACAAATTCCTGACGGTTGAAGTGAATGTGGTGTAACTACAGAATACGCTTAAATTAACTTTATTTTGATTTTTGTAGCCTTTTGTGCTAGAATCTGCCCATCTGGTCACGTTACCTTGATTAATAACATATGTAAGCCTATTATAGCCATGCAATTCTCCATCAATGTGTGGGTAGTTGAGAAAAAGTCTCATTGTCTTTATTATCGTTCTTTCTGACGAAATAAAGTAGAAGGATAGAAATATTGCTGTCCTGTTTCATGTTTCAAGCTCTAAACATCTTCTTCTTCATGAAAAAAATTATCAATGAAGTCTCTGCCTCTTTATCACCACGCTTTTCTTTGGAATTTTTTTTTTGAAAGACCACCCAGTTACCAGATGTTCTTACTCCAGTTTTATTATTTGTTTCTTTCACTTGTCCACATTTCAGTTTTGGAATGGTAATCTTTGCAATATTATGATTCCGTTGAATACAACGCATCCACAACATAATGGACAGCCACCTCCAACAATGGCTGTTTTTCCTACTGACCAATTCAACGCAGTCAATTCTTCGTGGAACAGCAATCAGGTATGGCTATTATGATTTTTTCCTGGTTTACTGAGTTTTTTTTTGGTGTTTCCTTTTCGGATTTGGACATCATTCCAAAAATTTTTGGTCTAATTTACAGCTTTTTATTTACATGGAAAAGGTTGAACGTGTTTTTATTTTTGTGTTTCGTTTGGTGTTTCATTGTTGAGAGTGGTTTCAAGGTATCATAAATACCGCGAAAACTGACAGACAAGTAAGAAAAACTACCTCATAATCTCGCTTGTTTCTACTTCTTTCTGTCAGCCGCCTATCGGGTTTTACAATTCATTCTTGTTCAAGCTAGTTCATTTTTGCAGGAAATAGCACGGTTGCTATACTCAGCTCCAAACCATCCAGAATGGATAGCGCAACAAGTTCCAACCAGACCACAGACAGGGTATGTTTATTTTCAACATCATTCTTCATTGTTTTTTCTTGGTTTCGAAACATATGGAGCCTATTCTTTCCTGACATTTCGTACTCGTTTAGAACGCAGTATATGTTCTGCCGGTTTGATGGTAATTGGTTCAAGATGGACGGATATGAGTGGAAGAAGCGCCGCGAGGGTAAGCTGGTTCGCGAGGATCATATGAAGTTGAAGGTAATCCGTATGGCCAGTAATGTTTTTAGAACATCCGTGCTGGTAAATATCCTTTTCTTTAGGTCAACAAGCAAGAAATACTCTCAGCTAACTATGCACACTCTTCAGTTGCTCCAACGTTTCATAGAAGAGTTTATTGGCTAACAAGTGTACGTTCTTATGGATTTTTCAGTCCTTTAATATTCTCGGTCATATGTCACATGGGGCCACGTATCGTAATACTAGCGTGTTGCATGAAATTTTCATAAGCTTCAACATGCAAACGCAGAATCGCCTGTTAACTTCCACTCTTATGACTAAAGCGAAGATCGCGGGAATTCGCTTATACCATGCATGTCTGAATAAAGAGAAAAATTTGTTTGAGAATTCTCACTCAATCAGTGATTATGTAATCATGGCATCAAATGTCTGTTTCAGTTGCATTGGTTTTTTTTCTTTTGCTTCTTTTCTGTCTTTTTCGTTTTGATTTTTGGTGCTGCAGTATACGAGATTTATTCAAAAAGTGTTTTTTTCTTTAAATTCCAGTTTGAAACACAATTTCATATATCCTTTGGGAAAGTCGAGCTCTAGCAGAAAAACCTGCATCTCAGCTCGTGCAAGTTCCAGCTGAAACGACGGGTTTCAAATTTCAGTTTGACCTTCTTATGTGCAGTAAAAAAGCCAGCACTGAAACAGATCGATATATTAATTTCTTTCCAGAATTCGGACTATGTCCTTGTACATTACCTTAACACCGAGACCGAGACCGACTTGAAAAGCATCATGGATAAAATCTCGGCATGTTTGAAACTCAATAGCCTTAATCTCACTCAACAACAGCTCATAGATCAGGTCTCACCAATATGTAAGTTTGCATCGTTAATGTTTTTTCTAAACGATTCACCGCTATCCGCAATATAAAACTCTATTTACAGCGCTTGAGATATAACTCGCAACTTTGGGCACGCGATTACGCGCGAAGGAGTTGTTTATACTTCACCGCGCGGTTAATTTGCGCGCACGATAAGGGCAGCGTTGCTCCAAAGCGCGGAACCGATGCATGCTATGCTGTTCAGATTGTGCGCGCATCAAATTTATGCTTTGACAGTTACATTTGATCATTTTCCTACTCTAATGGTCAGCTTTATAGATGCCAACTTACTGAGTCAGCAAGATATTGGCTACATATGCGAAAAGCTCTGCACTAATCTCAGGTTTTCACCTCCAAGGCAGCTCGATTCTGAAACGACGGTGAGTGGGAAGATTTCTGTTGAGGGGCGAGGAGTGTCTTACAAGGGATGGATACTAAATCGCAATGACGAACCCAAATGATATGCATATCATTAGATGTGTCTTGATGAGCTGATTCCAAATCCAACTTCCATATCTGCTAAGCTCTTCTCTAGAAGAAGTTATGAGTGTTGAATGTCCAAGTTTGGCAAACATCCAATACCATATCTTCGAAAACTACCCGTTCGAAAACACTTTTGTGTTAGGAGTATGTATGCATTTCATGTAATAAATGCATTCAAACCATGCTAATTAATCACGCCAAAGGTAGGTGCCAGAGTAAGCGAATATTTTGTTTAGGTTGGGGTCCCGCGCAGAATTGACGTCACTTGGACTGACGCCAGCATGGTGAGTTGAGTGACGTCCAATCTGCGCGGGACCCCAACCCTCTGGCACCTACCTAAGGCTGCGTTCATACTGATCCCGAAGTCCGGGGACAGTCCCAGCACAGCGCTTGAAATGAGCGCTGTGCTGGAACTGTTCCCGGATTTCGAAATCAGTCTGAACGCAGCCTAAGCTGGTTTTTTGAAAGCATCAAGCATCAAAAACCCATGACTTCACCTCTTTATCCGCCCTTACCTTCTTCTAGAGAAGCCCTTAGCAGATAAGAAAGGTAGATTTGGAATCAGCTCATTAAGAGCATCTTATGACATGCATATCATTTCGGTTCGCTATTTTGACCTGGTATCCTTCTTTTGTTAGAAGCTCTAAGAGTTTCCGCAGGTGTTCATGGCTAGCATCCCTTTCTCAGGTACAATCAGGCATGCCGGGTGCTGCTCAACAAAATCAAGTAGCTTCTCATTCGTCTCATGGATCCTCGCATCACCTTGAACGAAGAAATTCGTGCAGCTCGGCCTTCCGACCTGGCTTATCATCACTGATCCTTCGGAGGCAACCGTCCACCTTCAGTGATTCTGTGGATGTTACTTATGGAGGTACTTCCTTTATTTCATCCTACTCATTTTTGCTAATATAAGCTAGTATAGGTGCATCAACAATGAATGGTGTGATGGATGGTGCGCCGCTGAGAGAAATGCTCAGCGGTTATCCAGCAGATGGGCGATCTCATTCTGGAGAGACTCACCGGAGTAGCAACCAGGACGAGGACATGGTAGATATTATCTGTTTGCGACTTCATTGATGTTAACATTTCCAGTCCACCAGTATTCAACCATCGCAAGCAGCGTCGGCTTCATCATATCCGCCAGATACTCAAGTATCTGCGAGCTTGACGCCAATTACGGACATCACTCCCAACTCTGGATCCGTTAAGGTAGTATTCTTTTTGCTTTCAAAAATTATGTTTAAGTCTGTAGTAAGTTGTTAAACTCTTCTTCTAATTTTGAATTCGAAATTTCTGTACTAATTGCCAGAATGTAACACGTAAATCTTATAAGATTAATATCGAATGATTTCAAGGCATGTGTATCATGCGTGATGGTTCCAGGGTGGAACGAAGGTGTTGGTAGTTGGAGGCTGGTATATGAAAGGTCATGAATACACAGTTGTTTTTGGCGAACGCCGTGTGCCAGCTAGACTGATACAAGTTGGAGTGCTCTCCGTTATTCTACCTCCTGGTAACCTGATTTCCTAATGTGAATCTATAGACTTTTTTTTAAATAGCCGTTCTAGCGTCAGCCACCGGTATTATCCCCGTTCGGGTACTCTGCAATGGTCAAGTGATCTCTACAAGTAATGAATTTACGTACAGTGAAGAACCCGAGGAATGTACCATGGTAGCGCTACGACAGTGCATGGTCGATAGGCTGCATCTCATAGTCCATGCTTTCGGAGCTATGGAGAACTTGCAGGTGACTAAGATAGTGGGAACAAGCACTTTGCTTAGAGCTTCTGTTCCAGTGGGTTGCATCCATCGACGAAGATTCTGTCCTCTCATTGCTCCAAAACCTAGCTGGAAAACGTCTTACCTTACCAAGCCTATTATCAGCGCATCCAACACTTCCTTCTAGGACTATTTTACATATTGCCGCTGCTCTGAACTACCACAAAGTCGTGGAACATGTATTGGCTTGGAGGTGCTCTTTTTGTCGTTCCTTTGAAGGTTGCTCTTTTATATTTCAAACTTTCAGACGAAATCTGCCATACAGTCGGGAATTTGATCCGCTAGCCAGAGATGGTGAAGGTCGGACACCTCTTCACATCGCTGTTGCATCTGGCCACGTTGCTTCAGCAAAGTAATTCATGATGTCTATACACTTCTCTGTTCATTTGATGCTTTTAGGGTGCTGGTACGAGCCTGCAGGACTACTGTTGATGTTTTGGACGACCGCGGAAGAACTCCATGTGACCTGAGTTGCGACGAGCAAATGATGCGGCTCACAGCTCGCACAACCGAACGAGATGCTGATGAGCAGAGAACGCTGCCCAAAAGTTTGTTTTCAATGGGATTTGTGTTGTTCTGTTCGCTTGTGCAGGTGCTAGAGAGGTAGACGGCGCAGTTTTCATGGTGTCATGCTCTTTTGATGATCCGTTTCCGTTAAGATGCCGAAGACGTCGAGCATGTTACCTCAACGGCTTTGTGGGTGCTTACTAATGGCGAGACGGTCACCGATGAACACCTACTACGAGATCGACTTCCACCTGAGGTAGAGTCAATTTCTTTGGTACAGAATTTGTAAGGAATCTCGTCATGTAGTGACGACAGAATTGTACATGTGCTCATTCGTACATATTCGCTTTGTGTTTACACTCTGGTTTTGTCATGTACCATACCACGCTCAAGCACATTCAAAGAAATTCATGGATTAAAGTTTTAAATGACCGTATAAGAAGTTCTTTTCTTCTAGTGATCCTCTTTGCAAATCTGAAATATGACTGCTATAGAGTTCCTGATCAGGTTTTTAATTCCATCATCAGTAAATAACAGTTACCAAAATCGATATATTATGTATAGTCTGGTGATAGTCTATCAGGATATTTATTCTGTCTAATCTCTTCACTTCAGGATTCGAGCTCGTCGCTGAGCGATGCTGCAGATGAAGACAATGATCTGAATGAGCCAAGCAGCAGCGTAAGTTGCAGTTGTTTCTCATAATAATTTGGCTATAAATTTTCCTATGAAAGCTGCTGAAACCAGCAAGTTTTTCTAATAAATGATTTGAATCAATTCAAAAGGCATGAAGAAACTTTTCAGTTTTTCGATTTAGGCTAGATGGTGTGATGAGCCGCTACATGTAGAGATCTCTATGGACACCGACGTTCATGTTCCAGATTCGCCAAAAATGGCTGATTTATTTGAAGCTGTGACCAGGTACTATCCGTCGCATTTACAGAACTTTCTATGTATTTTTTACTCCTTGCATATCAGTCCTGGAATAATGGTGAATGACGGTGTTCGCGCCAAAATGGCTTTGCTTGCACAACAGATCATCGATGCTTTACCAGATCGAATAAAGGTTGGGTTTGTTTTTTCTTTTGGTCTTTGCATCTCAGATCCATGCTTTCCAGAATGATCCTCATCCTCTCATTGACGATGATTCCATATCAGCTGATGTGAGTGGCCAGTCGTCGTTTGCCTACCCGGATCCCAACCCTTTTCTCTCACATCTTTCACATGATGCACCAGCGGATTGGGAGTTTCAGCAATATTTTGCAAATAATCATTATCGGTCAGTTGCCTGTCCTTCTTCTAAAGATTATCGTAAACTTTTAATTTGTCAACTTTGGACTCATGTCTCGTTTTGTACCTCAAAATGCATGAATTTTTCTTAGTGACGCATGCCAAAGGGAAAATAACTTCACGTCTAGTTATGCTTTAATACAAATGGCCTAGGCCATCTGTCAATTCGTTCACATCAAATATCCGAGACTTTTAGAGTGCCTAACGACAAGTCTACTGAAGATGTGCTTTCGTCGTCATTCTCCGGCCAACCATCCAGTCCTTCGTTTGACCAAAATCATTTGTATGCAAATAAGGTACTTTATTCTTGTGAACGGTTTCAAGCCTAGGTGGCTGATAATTTACAGACTGGAACTGGAACCAGCTCTTTCGGATCATCTCGTGAGAATACCTTTGAGGGCACCAGTTTTGACTTCGATAAGTAAGTTGCTGTATCTGTATTTTTCGTTGTGATCTTGACATGTGATATTTCGCTGCGAAATAATTATTGTTTTTGATAAGTGGGCTTTACAGAGTTTTTCTGTAAAAGGATATGCGATTCTCTCAATCTGTTTGTGATCTTTACAACGACTGCGTCGTCGATTATGAAAGTTTTCAGAGATCTGGGTGAATTTTTCAATATGCGCGTTGATGGTGAGGAGGATCCTATACGACAGCGTTTGGGAGATCTGAAGTTGTCAGGTTTGTGCATTTTCAGTTCTCAGGTGTCGCAGAGATCATCCGCGATTTTGCTGTAAACCGTATATTGCTAACAACTTTCCGATGATATGATGTGTTCGTCCCATATGCATTTATTACATCCCATATATAAAAAATATTTGGGTGGTCTAGTTTTCGCTCTCGAACCAGACACTCTTATATTTTTTAATATTCAGAATGATTGGTTGTTTGGTTCTTGGTTGTCGGTCTTCTACCGAAAGTCTCCTCAAAACTTCTGAGCTATCGTTTTCATGAGATGTTATCGCCTCTGCTAGTAGCAGTGATCTCCTTCCCATCCCTTGAATTCACCATACACCCAAATTAGAATGGCAAGATACTGATGCAGTACGAAATTGGGGTCTCCTCTAAGTATTTGCGCAAGCTTCGCTGCAGAATGTGAATCCGAAACGAGAAAATTGCCTCTGAGTCATTTGTCGTTTTGTCCGTCCTGTCCATCATCGTAGTAGTTTGAAACTGACGATAAATACCTTGGCCTATTCCTAAAACTACCGACAATCTGTTTTGAGAGATGGCTTTCTTTCCGTATTCGGAGCTTTTCGTATTTTCGCTTTTCATCACCTTCGACTACTCATGCTGATGGCTGGACGAGGGCGCGGGTAACTTCTGGAGCAACTTTCTCGCTTGGGAAATTTTTTGCAGCGTGACTTGGCACTACTTAATGTGTCCGCATCGATAACTTTCTACCCACTTTCTGGATGGACGGTTTTCAACAGCTTGTCTCCGCTTAGATCGAAAACAGCATGCCTGCTTCTTTTTGGAACTTTCTGGACTTGTTATTGTACTCGTTAACGAGCTTGATGCGCCATATTGAACAGCATGCTCCATGTTGGAACATCATTTTTTCGGTCAGAGAATTGTAATTCTACGAGATGCATCTGATTAAGCGAGTTGACCTTGAATGTATTGTCTCAATACATGGGAAGTGCCCGCAACAAGTATATAAAAATTTTGCATTTGGCATAATGATAGCTATTTTATAAGGCTACTGCATAAGTTCTGTCCGATTTGAACTTTTGAATTCAAAATGTCACAACTTCTTTCAAAGTTAACTTTTTTGATGATCTTAGCTTTTATGTGTTGAGCAGTTCTTTGGCTATCAGATAATACTAAGACTTGCGAAAAACCCTTTTAAAGAAGAACCAAAAACTCAAAAACTTTACAGCGTCTTTTACAAGCCTGTCTTTTTTGACATGACAATGCTCCCTTATGAGAACCGACAGGCATATTAATCAACCATGGATAAATAGAGGTATTTTCGTAGATTATTTTGCAACCTAAAAGAGCCGATAGGGTCTTCGGTGCCGAGAGATTTCTTGACCGAACAAGAAAGAGTCTTTGACCTCGCTTCAGTGCATGAGTGCACGCCTATGTACGAATGAGAAAATTTTACGCTGAAGGAGCGGTGAAAAGGAATTGGTGGATGTTGCTAGCTCTTGTTACTTTAGCACGTCCAACTTTGGACTGATCGATTGCCTCTATTCGCAAGTTATTGTTCGGAGTTCGGAAGTTATTGCTTGTGGAACATTTATACAAAAAATTATTGTCCGACAACATATTTTACTAGCAAAACTATTTTCTTCATGAAACTGAGCTCGTGCATACACTAGCCTGTTACACCTTTATTCTGCAAACAATGAAAAAATTTGAATTGAGGGGTACATCGCATCGTGAAGATTTTTTGCATAAACATAAGGGTGTCCCAAAAAATGTACTCACTGTTTGATTGTAAATAACTCTCTTGTAATGGAGTGTTTTAGAGCGAATCGCCGATCGCTCATTCTTACTGTAGGAGTACGGTAGAAACTTTGAAGAGGGTTTTGGGCCATGAAAGGCCATATTTTGCCTGAAGGAAACAAAACAGCCTGAAAATTTTAACACTAGGCTAATTATACACTAGGCTAGTTAGAGTTGCTGATTCTAGTTGTAAAGTTCCCAACTTATTATGATGCTTCATTGAAGAGTTATGCTAGGTAAGAGGTAGCGGCCATTTTTACAATGTTCCTAAAAAGTGCGATTACACCGTTTAGAAGCTCCGCAATCTTGTGAATAGTTGAGTATTGAACTCGGCGTCCATAAATACCCTAAGGCCCGTATGCGCGTACATCCCCGCGGGGAGGGGCGGGGATCTGAGAGGGGAAGCGCCATATCTCGCTGCTCCAGAAATCTTTCTTCCTTCTTCTCTATCGTGCTTATGAGGGTTCTCATATCCTTATACCTGCGCATAATAGATGCCAGGTTACCGTTATACAAGATTAAATATTCACTATTTCTTCCGATCCCCTGGGGATCCCCAGGGGATCGGAGGAAATAGTGAATAAAAAAAATAAAAAAATTGTACTGAAGATATACTACGATACTGCTGAGCATGTTTTCGACAGAAGAAATTGAATCTGAAGATTTTGATTTTTTCGATAATCCCTGGCTCGCGAGCAGCGGTTCATCGAAGATTTTGATATCTTGAGATTCACTCAATTCTACCATAAATATGTTTAGCAGTGCTGTAGTATATCCACAGTGCAATTTTAGAACATTTTCATCGAGTTTCCAGAAAGATAAATAACTTTGAAAATGTGAGCTGATCCCCTGGGGATCCCCAGGGGATCAGACGAAATAGTGAATATCTATTCTTGTATGGCAGTAACCTGGCATCCGTTATGCGCAAGTATCAGTGTATGAGAACCTTCAAAACCAAGAAAGAGAAAGAAGAAGAAAGATACATAGACTAGAGAGATAGGACGCTTCCCCTCTCAGATCCCCTCCCCTCCCCGCGGGGATGTACGTGCATACGGGCCTAAAGCACAAGTTTTTTTTTTTTTGAAAAATTTTGAAACGGCGGCTTTTTCCATATTGACACCATATGTTTCAAGTTTCTACCGTAATCCTACACTGAAGAGAGATGGGTTATTCGTTCTATGCTACGAATCTAAATTGAACCTCGCTCTACAAAATGGTGCCTAAAGCTTTTCGAAACACTTCATTACAAGGGAGTTATTTACAATCAAACAGTGACATTTTTTTGGGATACCCTGTTCTTAGGCGAGAATTTATCTCGGCCACCTGGGGATCTTAGGCCTGCAATCTCGTTAGACTGAGGAATTTGAAATTTGATATGTGTTAGAAAGAGCAAGAAAAGCGTTTTCTAATGATACAAATAGTATCGCATTGTAAATGAAATAGGTACTTTCAGAACAGCTGATTCAAACATGAGGCAGAAGAATCGGATAGAACTTATGCTGCAACCTAGTAGAAATTGACACTTTTACGATATTCGTTTTTTACTCGCGCAACGGTTTGGTGCAGGTAGTTCGCGTTTTGCGCAAAATGTAGTTTTGGTCGTGCAGCTTCTGCGACTATCGATAACTCTAGTAGCTACAATTCCAGAACTTGAACTACTAATCTGTTATTTGATGAAAATAGAAAATGTCAAAAAAAAATCCCTCACTCAAGATGTACTTAAAGCTACCTAAATTCACGGCATGCTCTCAAGTCAATAAATGCACCTACAGCTTTTATTACATATTGTTAGGAACTTCAATATTGTTTTTGTGAAAAATACTTTTTCAGCCTACACAAAAACAAAATGATAGAATTTATTGTTGTAAAAAAACTCGAAGCCTTGATATCTGCATGATTTTGGTCATGTAGATTTGCGGCTCAATTTGACAGACAATTTTTTTACTGTTACTCTCCCTTCTCCGTACGGACTTTTTTTTTTGAGATGGAGTCGTAAGCGAAATTGTAAAAACCTCTCCGCCACGATTTTTTGTATCTTGCAAATTTTTGCTTGTATTGAGATCTCACATCCCTTAAATTCTGAAACACTAATATACTCATGAATGTTGGGAAACACTCAAAAGATATTGTTTTTTGTATCTCAAAACGGAGCGAGTGCAATTTTGAGCAAAAACCTTTTGTTTAGTTGGAATGGTAAGCGACATTTTGTGCTGCGTGTTCTTTGGGCCACGAGCGCTTTCATGCTTGCGCTTCTTTCTAATCGCTTGGCTATGCATGCCGAATGGATTTTAAATCATATTGCTACATGCCTTGATGGCATACCGTGATTTGGATTGGATTCTTGAGGATACTTGTTATAATGTTTGAATTTCCTAAACCCGTATGCATGTACATCTCCGCGGGGAGGAGAGGGGATTTGAGAGGGAACGTTTCACATCTCGCTACTCTAGGTATCTTTTACCCTTTCTCCATCTGGTTTATGAAGGTTCTCATAGCCTGATACCTATGCATAATGGTTGCCAGTGTACTGCCATACAAGAACAGATACTATTCTGTGTGGTCTCCTAGGGATCCCCAAGGGATCACTTCTTACAGAGTCATTTATTTTCCTATAAACTCAATGGAAACGTTGTATAAAATTGTGCTGAGAATATAATATGGCACTGCTGAAAATGTTTATAGTAGAAATAAGTGAAATCTAAGGATGTCGAAATCTTTGTTGAACCACTGCTTGCCAGCTAGGGATTATCGAAAAATTCACAATTTTCGGATCCCGTTCCTCCTGTCGAACATGCTTAGCAGTGCCGTAGTATATCCTCAGTACAATTTTACAGCGTTCTCTTTGAGTTTTCAGAAAGATAAATGAACTTGTTCATGTGAGGTGATCCCTGAGAAGTCCTAGGAGATAATAGTAAAAATCTAATCTTGTATGGCAGTAACCTGGCATCCATTATACCCAGGTTTCAGGATATGAGAGCTTACATACGCCAGACAGAGGAAAAAGAAAACAGGTATCTAAAGTAGCGAGATATGACGTCCCCTCCTAGATTCCTTCCCCTTCCCGCAAGAATTTACGTGCATACGGGCCTTAGATTTTGATTCTCATCCATAGCGTTTGAGGCTATCAAACGTTCTGACTGAGATTGTTATCTCTTTCTATCATTCTTTACTGAGAGAAAAGAAGTGGAATTTGTTTATTGTTTTTCTGTACATTCGCAATGCTTCGT